CCGATTTTCGAACGATTCCCTAACTGGTTTAAAAATTGGTTTTTAGTTTGGGGATCAACTACTTCAATTTTACCTCCTGCTTTCCAAAAAGTGCAGGAACAATTTGTGCAGTTCAATAATAGTGATAATAATACTGACAATCACCTATAGTTTGTGGCACTATACGAACTCCCATGGATTATGAAATGGGAATATTCAATCTCTGTTAATAATACAACCGACCATACCTATATTCCAAGACTGGGCAAAACCATCTCAGTTAAATGGTGGGACATCTTTAATATGGATCCCACAACTATAGTTCTCAAAAGAATACCTCCACAAAAACCTATATATAACTCAAGTCCAAGTGACCATAATAAAGCCAATACTTCATTTGACTTTCCCACATATTTACGAAATATGCTTCAATCAAACCCGAATGCTTCCAAAGAAATGCTAGAACAACAAATGAAGGAGATCTTTGCAGAAGCAAGAAGAAAACCGGTCTCATCAGATGAAACCGTACAATCCTCACCATTGCACACCAATAAATATTTCCCACTTGAAGAAGCAGACCTAGAAGAGGAAGAAACAGACCCATAAGAAGAAGACCCCAATGAATTCAGCCAAAGACCATAAAGATACTACACAGTACCAGGTCACCTCATATATATCATCCCAAGTTACTTTCCATACCACATATCACCTCAAGCCACTATATACGACAAATGATTGATGCCCTTCACTATAGCGGCCGACACATACGACAAATAAGGCACTATGATGCTGACATAAGAAGACAAAAATGTCACTGTTTAAGATGCATCTTTAAGCATCTTCTTTTTCTTTTTGTCTTTTCCTTTTTTGCTTTTTTGCTTTATGTCCTTTCCTCTCCATTTTGGTCTCATCAAGTCATCTCACCTCTCTCATCAAGTCACTTCAGCTCTTTCCTTCTTCACGAAGCAACCTCATCCTTTGCTTATAAAAGGAACACTCTTCCTCATTCAGAGGCAGGTCTCCAACCTTCTTCCTTCTCACACTCCGCTCTGCTCTCTCTCTGCCTTCTTCATCTCTCTCTCTGCTCTCTTCATCCCTTTGCTCTCTCATTCCCTTGCTCTCTAAGCAAGGCCATCACTGCTGTCCCGACCTCACAGCCAGAACCTGTCTCATGCTATCCAGGTTTTTTCTATCTTTTTGATACATCAAACCAGGTTCTCTCTTATCTTATTATCTCAGTTTTCTATCTTAGTTTTTAAAATGTGTGACTGTAACTTCCATACACTCCCATCATATTGTCCTCACAACTGGAAGTTATTCTCCAGTTATTGTATCTGTAAACAGTAAAGTGTTTGTTTAAGATTTGTTTCATTTATAGTTTGTTATGTTTCAATCGGTTTGATTATAGTTTGTAATCTGTGATACATATATAAGATCTAATGTTTTAATGCAGTTTAAAATTGTCTTCAGTATTAAAATAGGTGATCACACACACACATCGTGGTTTGTTATTGACATTTCAGTTATTCCTTGTATTATACTACTTGTATTTTTCCTTAATTATATCCGAATATTACAATATATATATATATATATATATATAAAGATGGGATTAGCCCACTAGCGTATAGGACCATATGAGCCCAACAGCCCAGATTGAATTTGGGCCGATTTGACAATTATGGATGTTCGATAGTGCTTGAATTTTAGTTTTTTTTTCTACCAATCCAAATCATTTGAAATTTTACATGTGTATTCTTCTCATCAAGGCGCACCTAATAAAAATATAAAACAATTATTCGCAAAAACTAAAATGATCAAAATACCCCTCGAAACATTTTAGGGGTATTTTGATCAATTTATTTCATGTAAAATATTTTTTTGATATTATTAGAAGATTAACCTATTTTTTATGAACACACTTATAAAATTTCAAGTGATTTAGATTTGTAAAAAAAAAAAAGAGTAAAATTCAAACACTAACGGACATCCGTGACAGTCAGATCGGCTCAAATTCAATCTGAACCATTTGACTCATAGGTTCATATGAGTTAGTGGGGTAACCCCAACTTTTTCCATATATATATATATATATATACTCAATAGTTTTGAACACTTGAAATTCTTATCTCACTGTATAGTACTTTTTTTTTTAGGGGTATTTTAGGTAATTAATAAAAAATAAAGTAAATTCTTGATATAAAGATAAACATTTATTAGTTATAGTGGATAAAATGACATTAAGTTTTTTAGAAATATCTATCATACCCCTCCTAATGGCAAAAATGTCTTTAATAATAAAAAATTGCATTACCAAACAATAGGTACAAGAAGGATGTGGTTTGTATAAGTCCGAGGCTCTAAACAATCAAAATAAGACACACCTTTAAATAGTGTCGAAAGATGTTATTTCAATACTGTAAATGTATAATAGTTTAATGGAGTAAATATGTTCCTATTTTATGTAAATTTTTTTTTTAAAATGGAAAAGATTAAGATTAAGCGAATTTTGGAAAGCTAAAGAAAACAATATTTTACACAAGTTTATATAAAACAAGTCAAATTTTGATTGGTTTTTACATAATGTATTAAACTAATTTTAAAAAATCAAACTTTTTGACCTTTTCATTTGTTATGCCATATGTATTTCTAAATTTTTATATGGAGAAAAAAGTTCGACCGGTTTGGCTAGCAGTTGGAGTAGTTTTGATTGGACCAACCCCTTCGCATATTCATGATGTTACGAAAATTTATTTTCATATCTAATTATAAAATTTATAGCTTAAAAAATAGTGAAAATCTTAATTACCCAAAAAAAAGTGTTGATGACGCTGATCTATGAACACTTGAAAAAAAATTAAAATTGACGGTCCACAAAATGTATTACAAGATTCAGTATATCCAAGGCTTAAAATCTATTTTTTTATTATGTTCATACATCTTCATGTCAAGATGATTGATTTTAGGATTTTTATGCATCTAAACAACCTCTTATTATAAAACTTTTAGGTGTACCTTACTTTGATTGTTTAGAGTCTCACCCTTATATAAATTTTTTCCATTTAAGAAAGGGTGCGGTTTGTATAGATCCTAGGCTTTGAACCATCATATTAGAGCCTGCCTTCAAATAGTTTCGAGAAATGTGGTCTCAATATTGGAAATCTATGTCATACCCTTAAAATGTATTTTCATCTTTATTTATAAAGGTTAAAGCTTCAAAATTAGTGTAGATAGACAAATCTATGAGAACTTGAAAATCTTGAAAATTGACGGTCCAAAAATACATTACAAAATACACTATTTCCAAAACTTGAAATCCATTTTTCTCTCGTGTCCATGCATCTTAATGTCGAGATGATCAATTTGAGGATATTTGGGCATGAAAACAACCTCTTCTAGTGAAAATTTTGAGGTAGATTCTTATTTGATTGTTTAGAGCCTCGCCTTTATATAAACGTTTCCCTTTAAGAAATACTTGTACGTGTGGATACACTCTAATATAACCCTTTACAAATACTTTAAAAATAAATCATCATAAGTAAATAATGTAGTTGTCTACTTAACACAATCTACCTCCTTTATCCCGCTTGAGATGAGTCAAATGAAAGTTGTCATCACCCTTCTTAGGTTAAAATATTTTAAAAATAAATATTAACATCGATTTTTCAAAAATTTAGAAAATGTGGGAAAAGTTCAGAGAATAATTTTGGAAAATTTTAATGAGGAGATGAGAGCTAGATTTTTTTAAAAAAACAAAAGAAGAAAAAGAAAGTTTTTATAAGGCTTAGGTTTTATGAAAATAAAATAAAACCTCACATCGAATCCTCTTCCAAAAAGCACTTTTCGTAATAGAAATTTGGCTCTAAAATCAATCCAACATGGATAATAAAATTTGAAACTAAAAAAAATAGCACAAATTTGAAACTCAAAAAATAGAACATATTTTGTTAGTGTAGGAAGGAAGGTCTACTTAATTTATTATAATATATATTACTTTTAGAGCATAAATTTCTATTTTATTTTTCACAATTATAATGTTGAAGGTGAGATGATCGATATAAAGATTTTTCAGGCCAAATTGAAATTTTCGATGACTTACGAAGTGAGACTTTACTTATTTTGATAGAGATGTAGCCATTTTTCCAAAAAAAAAAGAAACGCCGTCTTGGTTTCTGTGAAAAAGGAGAGCCTTGGATTTGAAGCTAGTATGAGGGGGCTTACGTGGGCCACATATTGTGTGACCCATTTTTCTCCCAGTGTAAAGCACCATTTTTCGCCCTTTATCGAGAAAAGGAGAGGAATGAGGTTTTGATTCGGTAGAGAGAGAGAGGGTTTTGATTTAGAGAGAGAGGAATTCTGATTAGCAGAGGGAGGGAGAGGAAGTTTTGATTTATTAAACAAGTGAAAAAATTCAAGGGTATATATTGAATTCACATGAATGTAGAGAGAGAAGTTTTTTGAGTAACAAATATAGAGAGAGAGAAGTTAACACTATTTGGAGAGGGAACAAATACATAGGTAGGCAATTGCATACTACCTTCTTCACACTGGTGGGAAACCATGTTTCTTCCAAGGGTAAACTGTTATCTTACTCTCTCTCTCTCTCTCTCTCTGTTAATGATTCCTTCCCTGTATCATATTGGCATTTCGACTTGTGTTTCTCACTCTTATTCTATGTTTCAGCCTTTCAGATCAGCTGTGTTTGGAATATATGGCTACTTGTCCTTCACCAAAGCCAGTTTTGAGTGAGTTCTTCACTACCCATCATTTTTCTCTCTTTAATTTCCTCCATTTTATTTCTGGTTCTTTGGTGAAGCCGGTTTTGAGTGAGTTCTTCACTGCGCATCATTTTTCTCCTCTAATTTCCTCCATTTTATGTCTGGTTCTTTGCATAAAATGTCCTCCATTTTATTTATGGTTCTTTGGTGAAGCCGGTTGTGAGTAAGTTCTTCACTACCCATCATTTTTCTCACTCTAATTTCCTCCATTTTATGTCTGGTTCTTTGCATAATTTCCCGAACCAAGGATTTTGGTCTTCCTGTATCTGTATCCGAGATTTGCAATTTGGCAAGTTCTGTATAGTTGGGAACTTCTTGATTTGCTAGAAACTTAGAAATCAGACAAGAAAATTGCAATTCCTACCCATCAAATTGAATTTATTGGTAGTTTTGTTGAAGATTACATATGCGTTCTGTTTGTCCTTAGATGGCTTTTCTTGTGCCTCCTTTTCTTTTTACTTGTTTTGTGAAGTATTTTTTGTTCCAGTTTATGGCTGGAGTTTTATAATGTTCTAAATTGGAATATAATATTTATTGTTTAAATTGGATATTTTCATGGCTTGGTTCTCATCATCTCAACTTAAATTTTATCAACAGTATACGATGCATGTTTTGTGTGTATGTGTGTGTGTGTGTGTGAGAGAGAGAGAGAGAGAGAGAGAGAGAGAACAGGTAAAAACCAAACTTAACTCTGAGAACATAAATCTAAAAAGAAAAAGAAGCAACATTTTCAACTTGAGTAATGATCTTATAGGACACTTCCCCACCCATGTGTGTAGGACCCCAAAGGATCACTATTAAAGTTGACACGGATCTCTAGAAAAGTTATCACATGGGTGTAGGACTTGACTTTTCTATAGATCCGTATCAAATGATGATCTTTTGGAGTCCTACACACATGGGTGGGGGAGGGTCTTATAGGATCATTTCTCCGTATTTGGAAATGGAAACAATATCAATGAAATGACCTCTAGAGTGGAATTACTTTATGAGGTAGTCAGTTATATGATTATCCATTTGCCCACCTTTTAGAAGCATTCCATTGCTACGCGTTATGGATTTGGTCAAGGAATGGAGGATGGTAACATACTGTTTGTTTCATTTAGATTTTTTTTGTAGATTTATTTTGGAAATTTTGATGCTTCAGAACATTCATGTCCACACTATTAGATATCATGCTTTTATGTGTGTAAAATTTTAAAATTACTACTGCATTCTAAAGTGATTTTGAATTCTCTTTTCAATTTTCTCTAGGAAAAATTCGAAGAACTTTAATGAGGAGGACATGAAAATAGATATGAAAGGAAAGAACTGCATGGTCACTGGAGCTAATTCTGGCATTGGTTATGCCACTACTGAAGGTCTCGCTTCACGGTATTGAATTTCTTGATAATTATGCATTTTGCAGCATTTTATGTTCCATTACCACTTTGAGTTGAATATGCTTTATACAAAAGTTTTCACTTCTTGTCTCTTTCTTATATAAAGAGCATAATAAACTTCACTTGGGGCCACTTGTATATTTAATAGCTTTTAATGCAGTTAAGGGGGACTTACCCTTTTAAATGATTTTATCAGTCTCACATTGAGTTTTTGTTTTACCCTTTCCGGAACCATGCATTCAACTTAGATTTTCCTTTCAACTTTTTCAGTGGTGCGACTGTCTACATGGTTTGTCGTAGTAAGGATAAAGGAGAAGCTGCCCGGTCTGAAATCCAATCAAAGACTAATAATTCTAATGTGCATCTTGAGGTATGCTTTGTCAACTTCAAGTGTCTATTTTCATTCTTTTTCATTGTAAATGCATGTTCCCTTTTTGTTGTTGTTGTTGTGCTATTTGGAAGATTATTAAGCCAAGAGGTTTGTTTCTTTTTTACCAATTGAATCAACTTTTAACAATTTTTACAGATTTGTGATCTCTCCTCTGTAAGTGATATCAAATCATTTGCATCAACGTTTTCTTCAAAGAATCAGCCACTTCATGTCCTGGTAATATGTTTTCCTTGCATAATTCATTAAGAAATGGATATATGTTCTATAACTATCATTAGGGAAATGACCTTGTGAGACCCTCCCACATCCATGTGTATAGGACCCCAAAGGATCACCACTAAACTTGGCACAGATCTTTAGAAAAGTCAAGTCCCACACGCATGTGATAACTTTTCTAGAGATCTATGCCAAATTTAATGGTGATCCTTTGGGGTCCTATACACATGGGTGTGGGAGGGTCTCATAGGATCATTACTCCTATCATTATTGTTATTGTTTATTTTATTTTGAGATTGTTAACTGTTTAGATGTTCACCATGAATAGTGTCGTTATTGTGTATTGTTTTGTGGTAATTGAGAGTTTTTTTTATTTATTTTTATTTGTATTTTTTATTTTTTTATGTAATCATTGTGTTCTTGCCATTAAGAACCAAAACAGATCTAAGTAATTTTCTTGTAAACTTTGATGAAGATGCAATAATTTAAAGGGCTCTGTAATTGAACATAGAGCATTGCTTTATATACGCATGGTTTACTAAAGATATGAAACGATTCCCTTGTTTCTGGCCTTGGCCACTTCTCTTCTTCAGCACCCTACTATTTTTATTCCATTTCACTTGGAAAATGATGTGTGGGAGATGTATTGTATAATATGATTAGTTTTCTGAAAGATGGCGATTGGCACTAACCATCTTTAATAATTTAGAACACGAGGAAAGGGATTTTATTTTTTACCATGATGCTCTGATCGAAATCATGTTCAGATAAATGCTATCACTTAGTTGTGCATAGTTATGATTACCTAAATGTTAGTTTTGCTTGACTAAATAAGACGTTTCTAATCATCTCACTTTTTTTGGAAGTTTTATGACCACTTTATTTTGGGAAATAGAGAAGTCGTTTAAAATTCATCAATCCAGATCTGGAATCGCCCAAGAATGTTCCCTTGGGCTGAATCAACCAGTTCATTTACTTTGTAAAATACAACACATAACTTTTGACACAAAACATGGATTGCTTTTCTGGTCAACCTGAATGACTTTTTCTGTATGGGTCCAAGGTTCGAACCTCTTGGGCTGCACACATGTTTTAGTATATATTGTATTATATGGTATATATAACATACTATATTATCTTTAATAAATGGTTTCTAAGGTTTTGTTTAAACGTTATAAAAACTGAAGAGATTGAACCATTGATCTTGCTGTTGGTACTGCAAAGTCTAATCAGTAAAACGATGCATATTATTTGTTAAAATTCCTATGTTATATATTGTCATATCTATTTTCTTGCGTTTTGTTTTTTTGTTTTTTAATTTGCCAGATCACCGATCCAGCGATTTGGATATAGGATCAGTGGGTGAACGATCCACCCCAACGATCCGTTTTCTTTAAATACTATTGTGAACAAAAAATAGAAAGAAAGCCTCACACAAAGCAACATGCTTAGACTATGATATCTACTTCCAACCTATTTATACTAGCTTTCTTTAAGCATGTTCTTGAACCAGCATACCACTTAAGTCCTCAGTTTTCTAGTATAATTATGCTAAATATTCAATAATCAGTTCGCTATTCCTTTATCATAGGACCTGTCTAGTTAAACCTCTCGAAACTGGAGAACATGATGAAGTATATGATGTACTATGCCGTGATTATATCTGTTAATCTGAGCATCATTACTTGCTGGTTCATGGATGTATACTAAAAATGCCATACTCTTTAGGAAATGTCTAGGCTTCCCTAGCTATACTTAGATATCCTTAATCTCTAAACAAAACCTTCTGCACTTTTTATCTACTAATTCATACCAGTTAAATCTCTGTTAAACATTATCAAAATTGCCACCTTGAAAATAAAAAAAATAAAATGAAAATAAAATTCCAGTATCACTAGGTTTTAACTTTCAGCCATCATTTTCTTTTCAAATAAGAATTATGTTAGTTTTTAGATGTTAAGTCTTTTCTGGTGTAAAAAGAACCTATACATACATTTTAGTAATCAAGAAGTGGTCTCATACTTCAGCGGGCAAGCGCCTGCCAATGATAAAGAATTTCCTTACATTTTCAGGCATTTATAAACAGATCCAATATGAACAGGGGTGAGTTCGAATGAATTATTTAGATAAGGATAGTCAAACCTGGCTAAACTTTCTGTTCATCATGCCATAATCAATTAACCTTTTTTGGATAGTATCAAATTGCTTTGCCATAGGTTACAAGGTCATTTCTGAATTCAAATGGAGTATGAAAGCCAGTTAAATGCCCTTATCCTTTACAAGAAGTTCCTGTTATTAATAGTTGAAATGGCTGATTCATAGAGATTGCTCTTTTCTCTTCTATTATTGAAAATTAACTTTTTCATGGCTGACATTGGGAATTCATGGAGCTCACACAACATTTTCATAAACTTAGCAATCCTTCTGAAGTGCTGAGCTTATGCGAAGAGTATTTGATCTTCATGAATTTTCTCTTTGTCAGCAGCGAAAATAGTGTAAGCATTCCTCCGTGATGCATGTTTTTGTTATTTTCCTTTGATATTAATAAATTTCCTTCAAACTGTTGATCTTTTTCTGATTTAATATGGAACCAAACTCCCAAAAGGATTCGGAGAAAATGGAACTTAATTTGTTCTGATTCATGTCAAGAATGCTGTTTCTATCTTATACAGGTCAACAATGCAGGCTTAGTCGAGAACAACCGTGTCACTACTAAAGATGGGTGTGTGGCTTTATATCTGTTATTTGTAACTTTCATATCCACATATGATTCTCAATTTATTAAGGCACTGTGGAGTCTCTCTCTCTCTCTAAAATCTGTAAATTAAACAGCCACTTGTTCTTTAATACCATGACAACTTGTTGTCTCATGTTTGTTTTAGATTGGAGTTGAACTTTGCTGTGAATGTGTTGGGGACCTATGCCATAACCGAATTGATGCTACCAATACTAGAAAAAGCAGCCCCAGATGCCAAAGTTATCACTGTCTCCTCAGGAGGAATGTACACAGAGCCCTTGACCAAGGATTTGCAGGTGATTTCTTCCGTTTTCAATTGTAACTTCTATAAAGGTCAATTATTACATTCAAAGGCTTACTTATGTCAAATATTTCATGGAAACTGGTTAATTTTCCTCCAGGCTGTCAGTTTGACTGTTCTTAACTTTAATATTTCATATCTTTTCTTATGATCGTTGTTCTACTTTGTACAATCCCTATTTGCACAAACTGGTAGATAAGTTTGGTCTCTATAAAGAGTCAGGAGCACATTATTTGTTCATTAGAATCTGACTAAAATTATCTATTACTTGCAGTACAGTGAAAGCAACTTTAGTGGTTTACAACAGTATGGTCGAAACAAGCGAATCCAGGTGAGAAATTTAAAAACTCTCTCTTTCATGTGAGGAGGATTATTAACTGGGCTATATAGCTGCATCTAACGTATGCATGCATAGCTTCATAGTGTATTCTATTAGGCTGCACACGCACATGCACACGCACACATACAAAGACATACACACTACTAGTTGACTGGCAGAGAACTAATCATGACTAAAAGTATGATTTTCTATTTTAGTAACCATTGAACTCTTTAGTGAGTATTATATGTTATTTTTGGCGTATTTATATCCCCAAGGCGAATTAGGAGACCCAGGTGACTAATCTATTTTAGTAACCATTGAACTTTTTAGTGAGTGTTATACGTCATTTTTGACGTACTTGTAACCCCGAGGCGAATGAAACGAATTTTGAGGTCGAAAATGACATACTTTCTGGTCTCCGGAATCTCATTTTTCGAGGACTTCCTAAAATTGGAATAAGCTCAAATAAAGACTAAAATAGACAAAATTTATTGCAAAATGATCGTGATAGTATCCATGTCAATTTGTGATCAAAATGAAAGCTTGGAACGTCATAGATCGTGCCGGATTGGTGGTCGAAGAATCACAAGTTTATGGAACTTAGTCGGATTTTGGGTTCTTTCTAAAAAATCCGATTCAAGATGATCAAAGGGCATCAAAACGTGCGCAAAAGTTCAAGCATCTATTCTATGATGATTGATCGCTCGAATTACCACCGTAAACGTCCGAAAAAGTTCCCGAGGCCTAGCAATGGCAAGAGGCCCCTCATGGAGGGATGGTTTTGTCATTTGTTGAAAAGTTTTTAGGGGTATTTTAGTCATTTGATCCAGAAAGGGATTAATGTTTTAATTCATAAAATATGTATTTTTTGACAATTTTGGGTGTTTATGAGCAGTCTACCCTTGTTTAGTGGTTGCTCTATATAAGCAAACCCAAGTCATTTGTAATAGGACTTTTGAAAAACTCTTGGTCATTTGTAATCTCTCTTGAGAAATTGAAGTAACAATTTTAGGCGTTTTTAAGCATTCTCCCCTTGTTTAGTGGTTGCTCTATATGAGGAAACTCAAGTCATTTGTCGTAGAACTCTTGAAAAACTCTTGGTCATTTGTAATCTCTCTTGAGAATTGAGTAAATTCTTGAGTCTTTAGCTTCTTGCTTATTATTTGGTTTTCTTTTCAAGTTCAAGGCTCAAGATGGGAGGAGAGAAACATTTCTAGAGAGAGAAAATACCCCTAAAGCACCATACAACTTAGCCTATCCTATACACCTTAGTTCCCCTACACCTTACTCTACACCATACACCATAGAGTACCGTACACCTTAACCTATCCCTTCCATTATATACCATAGTGCACCATACACCTTATCTTATCCCTTACACCTTAACCTACACCCTATTCTGTAATACACCATACACCATAGTACACCACACCTTAATCTACTCTACACATCTTAGTTACCCTGCACTTACCCTATACACTTTAGTTCCCATACACCACACCTAAATCCAACTTACCTAAACCATATACATAAGCCTTGGGCCCTAGTCTTGACCCACCAAGCCCAAGGCCTCTCTCTGTCATGTGCATGCAAAGGGACCCATGGATGCGTACCTAGGCTCGAGCTCAGCCTAGGTTCACTCTCTCCATTTTTCTTTCTCCTTTTTGTTCTCTTTCTTTTCTTTCTTTCTCTTCCTTTCTCTTCTTTCTCTCTCTTCTTCTATCTTTCTTTCTCTCTTTTCTCTCTCCTCTCTCTCTCTCTCTCTCTCTCTCTCTCTCTCGTCGTCGTACGGTGGGTCCAACGCACCCCCTCCCTCTTTCTTTCTTGCTTTCTCTTTTCCTCTCTCTCTCTCTCTCTCATCCACAAACTTCCGTACCCGCTCCTAGGGCGGGCCCAACACTCTTTTCCCTTTTCTTCTCTCCTTTCTCTTCCTTACCCTCACCCCTCTTCCTCCATCCGCCCCTCACTTTTGGCTCTCCATCCACCCCTCATTTCCCGTCCTCCATCCACCCTCTTCTCATCTAACCCTCATCTGCCCCTCTCATGTTTGACCTCCATCCACCCTACTCTCTCTCACACATCTCCATCTGCCCTCTCTCTCATATACTTCCATCCGCCCTACTTTCCTTCACATACCTCCATCCGCCCTACTTTCCTTCACATACCTTCATCCGCCTTACTCTCTCCCATATCCCTATCCGCCTTACTCTCTCGCACACACCTCCATCTGCCCTACTTTCCTTTAGATACCTCCATCCGCCCTACTTTCTCCCATATCCCCCATCTGCTCTACTCTCTCACTCATCTCTCCATCCGCCCCACCCTCTCACATATCTCCATTCGCCCCTCTCTAGCCTGCCTCTCTCTCTCTTGTTCTATCCTCTCCATCCACCCCTCTATAGCGTACCCCTCTCTTTCTCGTTCTATATTCTCCATCCGCCCTTCTCTAGCCTACCCCTCTCTCTCTCGTTCTATCTTCTTCATTCACCCCTCTCTAGCTTATCCCTCTCTCTCTCGTTCTATTTTCTTTGTCCACCCCACTCTTTTACCCCTCTCATACTCCCCATCCATCTTACTCTAATACCCCTATCCGCTCTTCATCCTCCTTTATCTCCTCTACTATCACATCTCCCCTTACAGTCCAAACTTGCACCATAGGCGAGTCTATCATCCCTTGATATCTCACTTTCTCTCATTTTAAACACTCTCTATTCTCTCTAACTCACTTTAATTTATCACCCATTTTACTTTGCTTTTATTTCATCATCTCTTTATTTCTCTCTTTGCTTGTTGCTTCTTTTACTTCTTGAGCACTTGACTCAGGTCATCCTAAGATAGTGTCCTAGGGTTCTACCTCTTCGTTTGCTACTCTAACCACCATTTCGTATAGTGAAGTCGAATCGTAAGAGACGTTGATTCTCTTACACTCGGGTTGGGGTCATCTTGAGTCATCTTTCTTTAGAGTTCTGACCATTTCGTTACTTTAACCACCAAGTCAAATAATGTTTGGTTCATAAGAAGCTTCTTTCTCTTCCACTCTCTTCTCTCATTTGTTTACTTTCAGGGGGCTCTTTGGTTTAATGACATAGTTATAGGCTCAGTCTTAAAACTCCACTTTTCAAATCCTTCGAGCCTAGTGCTTTCCTTATCTCGGGTAATGCCTTTTAGGAGAAGTTACACTGGGAGGCTGCCCAATTCTCGTTGGGTTATCTCTGCACTTATCTTTTTCACTTTCATCTTCTTCTTCTTCTCACTTCTAAACTAATTTTTCATCAAGTTCTTATTCTTATTCTTTTCTCTCCTTCCTCTCTTTCTTTGCTTTAACCACTCTACCCCCAAAACTAGAGCCATTCACCCATACATCTGAGAGGAGGTACATATTTAGATTTCATTAGCAATCTTCAAGAAAGAATCCAGGCGAAGTGTTGAGTTTCGAGAGGGGCCGTATCTAAACCGTGTTGTTGGACAGCCAGAGGGCTTTCGTTCATTTGATCTAAGAGGGCAATAGCCCAGGCTTATCCTACGAATCAAAACCGCGGTGAGGTAGGTGCTCGAGTCCATCTCTTCATGGCATTAAAATCCTCTTATAGTTGGACATACCTATCCGCACATGATACACGAGTCGCACACGCGCTAGTGAGGTCAAGGCTGTTGTTCGAGAGGAGGTCTATCGGACCCAGGTCCCCGAGGGAACCCGGGCAAGACTGATCTAGCCCGACCAGTGAGTTGTTTAATCCACACCATTTCCGAAGCAACTGCTGCAAGTAACTAGAAAGTCACTAAGAAATCGCCTGTTTTGCCCTAGTTCTTGATAAATATAACCAGGAAACACTTAGTCCATTCGTACAGTATTTATGTTGTGCAACTATAGAATGAACTGATCATCCTTTTATCCTCAGGTTGCGCTGACAGAAAAGTGGGCTGATATACATAAAGATAAAGGCATCGGATTCTACTCAATGCATCCGGGTTGGGCTGCGACACCTGGGGTAGAAAAAAGTCTACCCAGTTTCTTTAAAGCGTAAGTTTTCTCCATCATGTAATTTCCTGCATTTCCATCATGTAATTTCCTCTCTCCCAATCATTATTAATAT